GCCGCGTCAGATTTCTTTTTCACCCATCCACTCACCCACCCGGGAGATAGTTCACACTTGGGAACGGGCCCTGCATTCCCAGGTGTGCTACTTATCTCGAAACAGGCCGTGGCGACTTTTGAATGTGCCCAGATTTGGACGGAGGTTGGACTTCTGTTCTTATCAGTGTGACAACAGATACAGACAACAGATACAGACTTCGCATACGGACATGCGCACTTCTCCCCACTGCTCTAGAGTAAGAAAAAGAGGAGCCACCGCTGTGAGAGTCTGATTGAATATTATATTGATTCTTATTTCATCGGAAATACTGATTGATACATTTGAGTTTTCCCATACTCTTTTCATGAAACGTTTTACACAACTTTGGAAACAAGTGCTGCCTCACCGGAGGTGTGACGACGACGACGACGACGAAGAGCACTTCGCCCACAAATGAGCATAGTGCGCCATCAAAACTGTGCATGAAAAGTAGTGAGAAAACATCGTGACCATCATCCACTGGTTGGAAAAACGGAGCGGCCATCGTAGAACTTGTAAGTGAAAAGCAGGGAGACATGATGAACAGACTGTCGCTGAAGTCATGCATCCAGAGACTTGTAAAGGAAAAGCTGGGAGACATGATGAACAGATTGTCGCTGAAGTCACGCCCCCAAACCAGCAAAAGATGAGATCCACTGAAAATACCAGCATCTTACTGTTGCTGTCTGGCTTTGCGAAGCAGAGAGCCAGCAGGCTTCCGACCCAAGCGTTCAGCGTCGAACGACTCCAAAAGCTGACATAGTACATTGTAAAATGGAAAGATGCGGCCATAGAGTGTAGGTCTACAATCCAAGATGATGTGCTCCTTCTTTGCCGTGAGACGTGCGCTGCAGTGACTGAACTCACGAGCAACTGCTGCCGCTTCCCCTGCCAGGAGCTCTGCCGCCAACGTCTGAAGAGCCTTCGCCGCCTCCTCGTTGCACGCTGGCGGAATCCCAGCATCGGAGATGCCGAAGAGCATTGCAAGTGCAACTGCCGTCGCACAAGCTCCAAGGGGGTGAGGGCGCCCTGGGCGATGATCTGTTTTCCACTGATCCACCGCCGCGAGGAGCCGCAAAGCAAAGACGTTGTCGGAGGCGAAGCGAAACACCGCGGCACACTGCTGCTGCAACTGGTCAAGCTGGTCCTGCTGACTGACAAACGCCAGCGTGAGCTCAGCAGTCGAGAGGGCGACCAAAGGCTTACGAGCGCGATCAGCACGACCACCATTCTGCTGTTGAGCTTGCAGAGCATCCTGACCGTGGGCGCTTTGCCCAGCCGCAGCCTCGGCACGAGCACGCTTGTGAACTGGACTGCCCGCTCCAGCTGGTGCCGCAGGCGCAGCTTGAAGAGCCCGCAGGAAAGACTGTGCAGACGGCGTCCCGGCCATGGCTCAGCCTCGGAGGCAGCAAGAAACCTGCTTGTGATCCCAATGCCTGTAGTTCAAGAATGCGTAGCCGCGCCATGCTGCAAGAGCATGTCAGGCTGTCCGTGCAGGGCGGGCTTGCCCTCATCAAGTGAAGGCGATGCCTTCCCACACTCAGCACTCATTTCTCACACGGCGAGGAATGCAAAAGTCATGAGCCGACTAAGCGGAAAATGAAAAACCACATTGGAATCAATGCTGCTTGCGACTTCGGTGAATGCCCAATGCTTTCGAGTTGTCAAACTCCCGCCCACACCGCGGGCACGGCAGCTTGTAGCGGCCTGCGCGCAGGACTGCACCGGAGCCAGCCCTCCCAAGACACTGCTCCCGAGTATGGCGTCCAAGCTGACTAGCTGTTGTGAACGTCATGCCACAAACCGGGTCAGGGCATGTAAACAATCTAGCTGCATCAGTACGAGCACCGGCCGCGCGCGGCGCTGCAGGAGCTGGAGCCACTGGGGCCGGAGCATGGAAGGCCCGACACTCTCGACAATGCATTGTAAAGTAGCCCTTGTGTCGATAGACCTTGTTGCAGTGGGGGCACCTGTAAACATCTCGCATAACAGGATGCGCAAGATTCAAGTGTCGAGATAAGCCCTGCGAGTTACGACCTCTGTAAGGACAAATCGGACACTGAAAAGCAACCACTTGCAAAGCAACACCACCATGAGCGTGCACTCGCGCTCGGTCAGCACGTGGAGCGTGGCGGCCAAGAGCCGCGACTCTGACCTGCTGCACAAGTCTGTGCCAAGCCACTCTGTCTTGAGCTGATCTGGACCAGAGCTGCCAATTGTCAAGCGCAAGGGTCTGCATCACCATCTTGGCGCGGCCAGTGTAGTGATGACAGTGGGCTCCGACTTCACTCGCTGAAGGAAAGGCGCGGCCTGGAATCGTGCCGAACAATGAAGCATGCGCAGGCCTCTGCGGAGGCAGTCTAGCCACGTGGCCAAGCCACTGCGCTGTGCGGCGAGCAAGCAGAGTGAAAACACTTGGCACGCCTAATCGCGTCAACAAGGCATCATTATCAAGACGAAGAGTCTGCATGTCGCTGTACTTGAGGCGCTGCGCTCTCCGCACAAACATCATCCATGTGGTGTGCAAGAGACGATGATGTGGGTACTGCAGGGTCCATGCTTCACTGCTGTACAGCAAAACTGCCGCCACACAGGACAACAGCATCCTAGATTTAGTCTTCAGCGAAATCTCGCGTGCTCTCCAAAGATGACGAAGCTTCGAGAACGCCGCGTGAGCCAGACTGACTCGACGACGCACGTCTGCATCAACGCCACAGGTGCGGTCGATGCCTAAAACGGCTCCCAAGTACTTGAACTGCGCAGTCTTGCTGATGTGCTGTCCAGCAATCTTCAGAATCTTGGTACCTGGGAGCGGAGCGACATCTGGCACTCCAACGAAGGAATGCAGCTCGAGCCACTCGGTTTTGCTTGCATTCAGGAGGCCGCCCATGTCTCTCAACGTCCGGTGAAAAAGCTCCGACATCTGGCAGAAGTCATTCCAGTTAGTAGCAAAGATCGCCGTATCATCTGCAAAGACCGAGTCGCGAAAACTATGCTCCCGAGTCGCACACCTGCGCAGCTGAGCCGGCAAGCGGAGAGTGCCATCAACAACGGACTGCCAGGGAACACCGTGGTTCGGTCCTAGGGCGTCGCCACATCGCCGTCGCCAGACCTTCATGACGACCGCAAAGTAAAGCAAAAAGAGCACCGGTCCCTCGATGGAGCCTTGTCGAACCCCAGTGGACATCTGAAAAGCGGGGCTAAGCTGACCACGCTGACCGCACACACGCGTCATCATGCCCGTATAGATGGCTTTGAGCAAATCAACTACATGTGCAGGGACCCCCAACTTGCGCTGCAGCAGAGTCCATAGGAAGGCCCGAGGAACTGCATCGAAGGCACGAGTGAGGTCAATGAACAAGACGTACAAAGAGCTGCTCCCGTGGGCTCGAGTAGGACGAGAGCAACTCCACTCCTGAAAGAGTCGCCGCATCAAGAAGAGTGCATCAGCGCAACCTCTGCCTCTCCGATAGCCTGTCTCGGATTCAGCACAATGCTTTTCGGCAAGCTCGGATAAGCGAGAAGCCAGCATCTTGCAGACGACTTTATTGAGCACGTCCAGAAGTACAATGCCTCGATGTCCATCGAGGTCTGTGACAAGGCCGCGGCCCTTCCAAATCGAAAACAACAGCGAGGAGTGCCAGGTAGTCAGATCGAGCTGCTCTCCACGCCAAAGTCGCTGGACCAGGTCGTGGAACTCGGCAACGACAGCGTCACCAGCGGGATCCATTGTCTGAACGAACACCTTCAGGAGCTCGGCATGCACACCTGAAGCATCAGGAGCCTTGCCATTGGACAACTGCATGATGGTACGCCGAAGTTCGTGCACTGTCGGCGGGTCCCAAGATATGTCAGCTGCATCAGAAGACAAGTCCGGAATTTCGTCCCAGATGTGCGGAGATACTGGGCGCTGCACGTTCAACACAGCCTGAAAGTGAGCCGCTTTTGCAGTCAGATCTGCATCTGGCGACGCTGCAAGAGGCTCCACAGAAACACCTTGTGAGCGAAGTAGACGGCCCATTTCCTTAGCATCACTGTAGGCAGTAGCAGCATCGTTGCGGCGAGCGGCTGCTTCGAGGCGCTGCAGGCGACTTGACCACCAGCGAGCCTTGAGGTCTCGAACAACTCGACGAGAGGCGTGGCGCGCATCTCTCAACTCCTGTAAGCATGCCTGAGAGCCCGGTGAAAGCCTGAGGTTCTCTAGAGCCCGTTGGCGGCGTGCAGCTGCGGCCCGAAGAGTAGCGTCATGCCCCTCTCGCCAGTCTGATGTTCTGCGCTGTGCAGTGCCTAGAATGGAAACACCCGCCTGGTACAGATCATGAGACAGCGAAGGAAAACCAGGAGCTGCACACTGTCGAAGGCGCTCCACCTCCTTGACATATTGGGTGCAGACGTCCTCCCCCTGAAGCTTGGCAACACACAAACGAGGCAGTCTTGTGTCACTGGGAGCCGTCGGAGCTGCGCGTACATACCGTCCAGGAGCCGCGCGCAGCTTCAAGACCATGAGACGATGGTCACTATTCACCTCTGCACGAGGCAGGGAGTGAGTATCAAGGACAAAGCACCAGTCTGTAGCGCGGCCCACTGCGTAATCAATCATGCCCTGCGTGCCCCACCGTCTGTGAACCCAGCTCGTGAGCTCGTCGGCAGAATGCTGAAAGAACGTATTGAGGACCTTAAGGTGAGCTTCAGAGCAGAAATGAAGAAAACGTTCCCCATTAGCATTTAGCTGACCAAGGCCATACGGTCCATGTACTCCTTCTGCCGCGGGTGATGGAGCAGCTGCAGTATTGATACCGATTCGAGAATTGAAATCTCCTAGAATCCAGGCGGGTTCTCGCGTAGGCAGCGCCTGCCACACGGTCTGCAGCTCATCCCAGAACTCGTCCTTCTCGGTCTCCGGTCGTTGCATCGTGGGCCCGTAGACGGACACCAGATGGAAACATCCTTCGTCTCCCGCAAGACGCAAGGAGATGCACATCACCCTGCCTGATGGTTTGCCCGTAGCGCGGGACCCGTTGTCGCGCCAAGCACGGGCAGCACCAGGAGACAAAATGAATCCACAGCCGCCCCAAAGGCCTTCTCCAGGCGAGCCTTGGTACACTAGTAGAAAGCCTCCTCCAAGGTCAACTGTGCCTGAGCCCGGTAAGCGAAGCTCACTCACAGCAAGAGCGTAAAGCGAAGAATCAATCATCCTGGATTTCAGAACTTCAAGCTCTGCAAAGCCGCGAATTTCCAAATCACCATTAGGTCGGACATCAAAAGCTCGGCGGACGCCGCAAACATTCAAATAACCGATGTTGCAGCGGGAAAAAAGGTGCCGGTAGTGTGGATCTACACCATAAAGTTCTCTGTAACCGCGCCTGTTCCTCTTAGCAGCTCCCGTAAGGGTTCGACTACGAAAAGTCATCCGTTGTAGGCGGTCCAGCAGAATGTCGGTCGAGTGGAAATGAAACTCTCACATGGTTGGCAAGAAAGCTGAAAAGAAGGAGTAAAGCCGCAGCTAACGGCCTCCTCCTGTTGCCATCGGCTCCTGGTTATCACGAGCTACCCGAGGGGCAACTGAGGTGAATGCAGAAAGTCGGCAGCCACGTCTACCACTTAGCCAGCATGACAAGCTCCTCGAAAGGCGATCATCTTCACATGCAGTAGTGTCATGCTGTTGCCACCCCCCTACCGCGCTGAGGCGGGTAGTCCGGATTCAGGGAGGTATTAACCGGAGGTGTGGTAACCTTATTTCCGGTTGTGTTTGATGTTTGTTTTCATGTGGGAAAACAAACTCGTTTCATGACTCCTTTCTTTTGGGAAAACTCTTTGCATGATTTGTGTGTTTTGCGGAAGCTCAGCATGTGCATGGCTTCGTAAATCCACAGATTGTGGCTCGATTGGAGCCGCGTCAGATTTCTTTTTCACCCA